GGGGGGGGGGGTATCTTATTTTTTTCCTTTATTTTTCCAGAATGTTTCTCTGATTGGGCCAATTCTCATTCCAGGGTAGCTTTTCTGATGGTCGGTCTGTCTGTCTGTCTGTCTGTCTGTCTGTCTGTCTGTCTGTCTGTCTATCTATCTATCTATCTATCTATCTATCTATCTATCTATCTATCTATCTAATTTGTCACCACCTGTCTCATTGAATGACTCTGGGCGGTTATTATTAGTAGTACAGTAATACTTGTTTTGTTTAATAGTTCTTCTGACATGTTCTTAATTTGGTGCTACTGTCATCTGTCCTTGACACTGAATAGTTTTTTACATCCCTCCTCCTATTCATATTTGTTAGTTATTTATTGTCAACTCTGGTATGTTGTCATTCAAAACTAGATTTTCCCAAGGCAGCTTATAATATACTAAAGTGTTGGTAAATATTAGTAACTGTGAGAATACTGCAACTCAGAAGTGTAATGTAAAGTCTGTTCAGACCTATACCTGCTGGGTGGTAAAACAATTTGGTATACTGTTTTAAGATAGTTGTATTTTGGGTGCAGTCTGAATTGCGAATATAGAATATTTGAGGAGAATGAAATGGTGGAAGGGGAGCCAAGGAAAGAGCAGGTTGCAGAGATCTAGTAGTAACAGCAGTTTATTTTTCATTGGTGTATTTTGCACCTTTCTCAGAGACGAAGATCATATGCAAACAGGCCAAATTAAAGCCTTGGTGAGACTTCCTGGTCTTCTGTAATAGGGTACAAGTGATGCAAAAGCAAGTAATCCTTGGCAAACCAAGATCATTTGCAACCCAAAACTTGGAATACACAAGTACATGTGGTACTTCTGAGATCCTGATTCAACCCTAAGTAGCCTATGAGGGTCATTGTTTAAAAAGGTGGAAAAAGTCAATTCTTCTTCAAGAAGTTAGAAATCACAGAGATGATGACTTCAGCATGGCATCTTAAATTCATTTCCGAGGCTTTGTTTACAGTCAGTTGGGAAAATGATCATATACTTTTGATTACTCATATTCAAGCAATACATTCAAAGTTTTTTCTCCTAGGTAGACCTGGAAAAAACTTACATTGTCTTAGCTATTGTTAACATTTACGTTAGCCTCCACATTGTTTAATTCAATCTATAAACCAGTTTTGGCTGTTGCAGTTGATATTCCACCCTAACAATGCTTCTGTGTAATAATTATCAGCAAAACACACTGGCCTAAAATTTTGTGCAGCTAAAAAATTCTTAAACCTTGCCATAATATCATAATAGTGACTTTCTATGAAAGTTTCAGGTACTATTGCTTAGAAAAATCTAAATAATTTAGCAGACACAATAGCAATTTTTGGAGGTTTTTTTTTTTTAAATGGTTTTGTATGTGTGAGAAAAAAGGGAATGAGAATTGTAGTAAGACAACTCTTACATTTCAAATTTATGTATGATTGTCTCAGCCCATTTCACTTTTATAATAGTCCATTCACTCAATAGGGAGCTCTAGTTACTGTTGTATATCTATAGGGTATTTTTCTAAACAGAGAATTTACTTTCTAAATCATGATATGACTGTCAGGATACTTGAAAAATAAAGTTTTAAGATATTTTTATGTCTTGTTTAGTGGCTCAGTGTTTAAGGGCATTGGCTGAGAAGGTGTTAAACATTGCTCTTGTCTTGTGTTTGGAGAATGTTTCTTCGTAGAAGGAAAAAACTGGTAGCAAGTGGAACAGGAACATGGATTGAGGAATTATCTCAGGCATGGTTTTTGAACCAGAGTGTATATCTAAGTTAGCAAGCTATCAACTTAGATGCAAAGTTGCTTTGTATGTTATCTTCTTCACGTTATCATGCATCTGAGAACATAAACTTTTTGTTTGAGAGTGGCCTGGTATCCTATGCCTACCTGAATTTTGTACTCTTCTGTGGAAAAATGTGTTTTCTATTCCAATTCAATAGGATGATTATGTGAAATACGTGCTAACAGTATGATAGAAACTAGTTTATATTACTCAGGGCCTAAAGTATCTAATTATCATGCATTGCCAAGAGAACTCTGCAAGACAAAAAATACATAGATGATGTTTGTATTTATTGAAGAGAACTCCTGGGAAAGCATACAAATCAGGCAAAAAGTAGCATTCTTTACTAGGGCACCTCTTAAGAATAAGTAATGAGTTTTAAAACTACTTCTGGCTCTTGAAGGAAAATAATAATTGTGTGGATTGGGGAAAACTAGTGTGTGTGTGTGCATACTTTATAAGGCAATGCAATAATGTAATAAGACTTTAACCCAAATCAGCTATATAATCCAGTGTTCCTCAGCCTTGTCAACTTGAAGATGTGTGGACTCCAACTCCCAGAACAGAGT